ATGCCTGTCCATCAGCTGCTGCCATCTCGAGATATGGGGAGATATGGGGAGATATGGGGAGATATGGAGGAGATGCCTGTCCATCAGCTGCTGCATCTCGAGGCGCGCCATTTCGGCGTCGTCGAGCCCGGCGCCCGTCTTCTTCGAGTAGCCCGCCTTGAGGTGGGGGGAAGGGTAGGGGGAACTGTCTCCCACACACACAAGGTACGGTGGCGGGGCAAGGGCCAGGCTAGCCCCTCGCATCTCCACACCCGGACCCGCGGGCAGGAGCTGGCGCGGCACTCAAAGTGCAAGGGCCGGGTGCCGAGGGGGAGCAGACCTGCACCCCACTCCCTCCCTCTCCCAGACTCACCCCCCCAGACACAGCCCGCACACAACCCCCCCCCCGGCCTGGCGGAGTAGTGTGTGTGTGTGCGTGTGCGTGTGCGTGTGTGTGTGTGTGTGTGTGTGTGTGTGTGTGTGTGCGTGCGTGTGTGTGTGTGTGCGTGTGTGTGTGTGCGTGCGTGTGTGTGTGTGTGTGTGTGTGTGTGTGTGTGTGTGTGTGTGTGTGTGTGAGGGGGAGGGGAGGCCTTGATCCTGGCGGAGTAGGCCTCGAGCTGCGGCTTGATCAGAGTCATTCGCGCCGCGCCGCGAGACTGGTAGACCTGTGCAGCGGGGAGGTGTCTCGGAAGTGTCTCGGAAGTGTCTCGGAAGTGTCTCGGAAGTGTCTCGGAGGTGTCTCGGACCTGCAGCGGGAACAGGACCACGCGCCCGAGCAGCGTCGCCAGCGCGATCGTCTGCCACCACGGCAGCCCCGTGCTGTCGTGGACCTACACCCAGTGGCGGCGCGCCCGGTGTGGGTTCCCCCTCCCTGGGGGTAGGGGATCCCCGCCAGTACCTACTCCCGGCCCCCTCTCACCTCTTCTCCCTGCCCACCAGGTGTGAACACCAGGTGTGAATTGTGCTGGCGCCCGGCGTCGCGGGCAGTGACGGGCGCGCAGTCATTCACCCGGCCTCCGAGGCGCGAGAGATACGGCCGAGGGACGGCCGAGATACATCTCGGCCGAGAGACGGCCGAGGGACGGCCGAGGGACGGCCGAGGGACGGCCGAGGGACGGCCGAGGGACGGCCGAGGGACGGCCGAGGGACGGCCGAGGGACGGCCGAGGGACGGCCGAGGGACGGCCGAGGTGTGGGGGGAGAGAGCGACCGTGTGCAGCAGGCCCTCAACGGCGGCCATGGGGTACTTGAGCAAGTAGCCGTCCCGTGCGGTGAGGTCCGCCGTCGCCTGCGCCGAAACGTCACCCAGAGGTCGCCGAAGTGTCGCCGAGGTGACGCCGAAGTGTCGCCGAAGTGTCGCCGAGGTGTCGCCGAAGTGTCGCCGAGGTGTCGCCGAAGTGTCGCCGAAGTGTCGCCGAAGTGTCGCCGAAGTGTCGCCGAGGTGCCGCCGAAGTGTCGCCGAGGTGCCGCCGAAGTGTCGCCGAGGTGTCGCCGAAGTGTCGCCGAAGTGTCGCCGAGGTGTCGCCGAGGTGTCGCCGAGGTGTCGCCGAGGTGTCGCCGAGGTGTCGCCGAGGTGTCGCCGAGGTCGCCGAAGTGTCGCCGAAGTGTCGCCGAAGTGTCGCCGAAGTGTCGCCGAAGTGTCGCCGAGGTGTCGCCGAGGTGTCGCCGAGGTGTCGCCGAGGTGTCGCCGAGGTGTCGCCGAGGTGTCGCCGAGGTGGCGCCGAGGTGGCGCCGAGCGTGTCGCCGAGGTGTCCAGACGTGGCCCCAGAGATGGAGCCACGGCCACGGCACCCGTGAGAGACTGCGGCAGGCGTGAGGAGGGGCACACTCCAGGCCTCCCATAGAGAGGCTGGGACTCTCGAGGCTGCGATTCGGTTGCCGTGTCTCTCTGTCCGCGGCCGCCTGCTCCGC